ATTGCCCTGCGTGGATTGCCCCAACGCATCTACTGCGATAACGCAAAAACTTCATTAGAGCTGCAAGGGATTCTCATTTTGCTTCATCTCTCCCAGAGCCTCACATTTCGGCGGCCTCTGGGAGGAGCTAAATAGCTCCTACTAAAAATCATCGCAGAAGCAAGCTTTACATACGAAGAGTTCGTACTCGCAGAAGTAGAAGCCATTTTGAATTCACACCCCATCGCGCCAGTATCGGACGACCCAAATGATTGAGCTGCTTTGTCGCCGGACCCTTTCCTAATTGAGTAACCAATATTGTTGGCACCAGATGAATCTCTCCACAACCCAGCAGCGGAGGACGACGACTCCAAGTTGCGCTATCTTACCAGATGGCAATGCGTGACATTCATCAATTAACATTTTTGGCGCAGGTGGCAAAGGGACTACATCCATTTTATTCAAGTTCGCGGCAAGTGTTCCAAGCCGCAAGCCAACATCCAAGTCGGTCAACTTGTCATAGTGCACGAGGACAACCTTCCTCCGCGATGCTGGAACCTAGCAAGAGTCACTGGAGTTATTTACGGATGCGACCGCCTAGTACGGGTCGTGGATCTGCATACCTGTAAAGGCCCTCTGCGTAGGGCAATGCACAAATCAGCTCCTCTTCCTTTTGAGTGTAATTAAAAGACTTGCGTACTTTTAACGAGGGGAGTATGTCGGAGGAGCATTTGAATATAAAATGAATTTAGTTGAAACGATGTAACTGTATTGCAACTCTGTAAGTAGGGCTAGCGTGTTGCAACTATTATCTAGTGTTAAGCAACACGTTGCTTAAGCTACTACTCTTACTCGATTGGCGGCATACACTACACGCCGTTTTCTTGCGAATAAATTTATAACCAATTTCCTAAAGCAGACTTCTTATTCGTGTACTGCGCCCGGTGACCATGAAACAGTAGCTACCGGATCCCCGCAGGCTAATGGTCCAGTTTAAAGGGTAAACAAAAGCATAGGTATAACAGAATGTAGATAAAAAGACCCTTAAAGAAGATTTGGTGAAGATACAAAATTTCGACGCGCACGTAGGAGCTTCTAGAACTCCAAAGTTCAAAGGTTCTTATAGAGTGACGAAATTACTACATAACGATAGATATTTCTTATAGTATGTCAAAGGTTTTCAACAGTCTAGGCTGCCTTATAAAGGAGTTTTGGGCAGTAGCCAACATGCGCCCGCAGATAAAAAATAATGATAAAATTAACATTAGGAGATGAGAAGCTCTCCAGTTAGGATGGCCGATTATAGCAGGTGGTCACACTAGCGTGTGTCACATGCGGCGGGCACAGCAGTCACATTACCTTATCTATACACACTTAGTTGTAAGCATAATGTACTCCTCTTGCTTACTTCTGCATAAAGATCATGCCAACTAACACTATGTGTATCCTGTTCGCACGATCACCAAATGTCACCAAAACATGTGGAAATTAGGCTCAGATAGCATAAGAAAAAGAAATAAATAGCACTACGGTTTGGACACGTTCTCAGACGCCTACAAGGCTAAACTCATGTGCTCAACCAACTCCAATCTGCTATTTTAAGAAGGTACTTATAAATACTCGGATAGGAAGGACAGCATGGATTAATTGTGTCATGGGGTCAGCTACTTCACCACTTCTTGGTTCTTACTGCGGAAGCAGTAGCATTAATTAAGTTAATTAGATTTTTTTTCGAACTTAATGAAAGATATGCAGTGATAGTCTGTCCACCATTTAAGGAATCAAAACTTTTGCAATAACAACAACGTTATTTGAAATTCGTCACATCTGCATAAAAAAAAGGAAAACTAAGATATTACGGGAAACGAGTTAGCTGACAAAGCTCCGTGCCTCTGGAAAAACAAGAAAAAAAATTGCTGGACAACGAACTAGTAGACTGGTCGTCGTTTAACCGCTGGTATAAACAATCTCACACATAAAAACATCTTCAACAGGGAAAGGCGGCTGAAATGTCCTAACTTTGGGAAAGAAAAGTCAGTCAGTTGTCAAGTCGATGGCATTAGTAGCTAGTTATTCCTTTCCCTAAATTATTCAATTTTAAGGAAGTTATTAAAACTGCAAAGTCTACGTCGCATGCACTAGATGAAATCATTCCTATGTAAGTGTGGAGCGACAAAAACAGTCGGTCGTACATCTTATGCTTAATGCTTTTTGTTTAACTCAAGGCATATTGGCTATTAGACAAAAAAAGTCATGGGGTCATGGATCAGCCATATCATAGAGCTATAGAACTATCAGCTATATCATAGTGTCCACAACAAACTGATCGGTCCAGCAGTGGGCAAAAGTAGATAAGATGAAGTTTCAGAAAATTGTGACATAAAAAACTCAGTTCCAGAGGGCGTGTATCTAGACTTAGATGAGCAAAATTCTGATGTCGACGAGTTTTTGATTTTGAAAGGGAACAAAGCCACACCGTCAAACAGCCCCTATGATGGTTCTTATACGCACTGGACAGCGAGGTATGCCAAGAAATGGCCTAGAAAAGAAAGAAAAGAAAAAATTCAAAAATATGGTAGTTTTTATACCATTAAAATGCACGGCAAAGCAAAGAGGCACTGACGGGAAAGCATCCATCTAAATGGCATAGTTCTATGAACCGTGAATTTGAGACCGTTATCAAAAACATGACTTGGTCTTTGTATCGTGCTAATTTCGTCAACAAATTTCGTGCTATTTGGTCAGCAGTCCGCATCCAAACCGCGTGCTAAAACTTGACAATGCTATATGTACATGGCCTCAAACAGTCCGGGCCTTGAACAGCACTTTGGATGACGCTTTATTATAATACGTTTTTGAGGCTATTAAGGGCGAGCCGTGCCTACATAAGATTATAGGTTCGAACTCGTATAATTTTATATCCATATATTTCGATGACATTATAAGACATTCGAGAAAAAGTGATCTGGATAAATTCAAAAAGAAGTTGCATAAAAGTTTTATAATTGCATCATTTTCTTGGAAATAAAATAGAAAGTCGGGTGAGCGTGGATCCATTTCTGCGTGTCAAAAGCATTACAACGAAATGTATAACATGAATGTGTTGCGTCTGTTTTATCGTTTGGATCCTGAATCTTAAATTCGCTCCGAGAATGACAACTGTGACGGGGTAGATATAATCAATCAGTTAATCATAGAATCTTCAATCTATTTGGCTATCTATCACTTTGTTTTTGCGAAGCGAACGGACGTGTTTCTTTACTCTCGGTTATCTATGCTAGAGTATTTATGAATTATAACTTGGACCTATATTAATTACATATTAATTTCATGTGATTTAATATAAATTTCATCCTTTTGTCTTCCACGCAGTCAATTAAACTGTGTAGCTTTTGTTTTTTGCTTAAACCTTCAAATTACTTAAATTGATTTCAGATCTCTTTCTTATTTTTCGGCTTTCGGGACTAAATAGTTCCTCTCAGTAACGGATATCTTATAGTCTGTTCTCGCACATTTGTCTTTGTTCGACTTAATAGTGTTTAAAAAAAAATTGTCTGAAAATTGTCTGAAATTGTCTGCTATTTAAAATCGTGTAATAAAATAATCACTACAAACCAGCCGATCGTTTTGTATTGGCTGTGCGATAATGCGGTTCATGCCAAATGTGCCAATCGTGACACCACATCGGGCGCTTTGGCCCGTGGCGATTCCGGCTTACATTACTGCTGTGAAATATGTCGGGGGACTCAAAGGGAAAGAGATCTTTTATGCGGCAGAAAAATGGTTTTCGTGAGGCAGCGATTTGCTCACGGCGCTGGACACCCAGTTTAATAATGTCCAATTGTTAAATGGGACTCCAAGGCGTAAAAAATCAAGCTCATGTATGCCGCGGATAACCAGTAACCTTCTCTTTCCCACTTTTTACCAACAGAACGCGGAAATGTTGCCGCAGCTGGCATGCGAATTTTGTGATGGTCTGAAATTGTTAGATAGTCTGTCTGCTTCAAGCTTACTGGCTCTTATAGAGCCAATTTCCATTAACATCAACCCGCAGGATACACTGGAGGGAAATTTCATGCCCTAAAGGTAAATAATATTTTAAAATTTTGTAAAACAGTAACGGGTATCTTAAAGTCGCCGCACTCGACTATAGCGTTTTCTCTTGTTTTCTTTCAAAATTTGTGATAGATATTAAATATTTTACCTGGATTAGTTCGTTATTCAATAATTTTTCAATGAATTCGTTTATTGTAATTATTGACAATGAATTTTATTAATTTGGCTGACAATAAAGGAAAGAACACACTTCTCTTAAGATATTTTCCTCACTGGTTTTCCTAAACCGGTGGCTTAAATCCATTTTGGGTTACCATTTTTCTTAAAATTATATGATAACATAGTTATTATTACCTGTCATTTGAAAAGTAAAAGGGTCAGAAAAACCTATTCTAGGATGCAAGAATAAAGATTTTCAATTTGTAATGATAGTCGGTATTTTCCATATTGAAACTGAAAAGGTTTAACCGAGCCCTCTATTTTCCTCATAAATGCAATTGTTTTTATGAGGAAAATCATGTTCACTGGTTTTCTGATACTTTTATGCGATGGTTCCAATTTTTCTGCTGTGCACGGTAAAACGAGCATAACTTATCTATTTTCAGTCGGTGCCCATAACTTAGGTCGAGAAAAAATTTATGTTGTACATACCTAGCTATTAGTTCTTTGGCAAGCTCCCAAAATGGTATTTTGTGAGACTTTGTTCCTCCTAAAAATATTATAAAGTATATATTTTATCTATTGCACGAATATAAACTATTTAGGAAAAGAATGTTTTGATCTTAGAGAGCATGTATGGTTACCTTGTGTGGCCATTAATATGTCCGCAGCCAGTGCACTGCAGCTCCAGATAATCAAGAGAAAGAACAATTTTCGAAACATTTTTCTACAAAAAACAGTCGACTCGGATTTATTGAATTTTGCACCAATAATTGTAAACAATGTGATACCGCGTCATATTAGTATATGTGCTGTTGACAACATGTCGTTCGACTTTAAAAACTTTATACCTATACAGCTTGCTATTTAAGTCTCTTAATCGAGCGTTTAGTACACGTCCCTAAATTATGTAATGTATATATAATTGCTGCAATTCTGTTCAAAATTACTTTTTATATTCGTACAGTGTCAGCCAAATGTCAACAGGCAATAAACTGGAATTTCACTGAAGTTCAAGCAACACAGCATTGAGTAATAACTGAAATAAAAGTTGTTCCAAAATGAATATCCACTCTTCCGACTTTCTGGGGCAGAACTAATAAAATTGGTTATACTTCTAGCTTCATGAAAAATTATATTACAAGAAACTTGATTAACTCAAAGTGTTTAAGTTATTTTTTAAAAGATGCTTTAAATTGCGCTTCATGCAAAAAATACAAAGATAAAACATAAAACGTACAAAACTAAAAAAAAATACTGATATTTAAAAGTTTTTCAAATATAATTATATAAATAAAATAAATAATACCTACATACAATTTTTAAATTAGCAACCGCAACCAAAAATGTGTATTTTCACCTAAAATGACATTTTAAGTATTGTAAACTTTTAAAACATTTATTAATGTACACATTAATTATGTACGTATTTCCTATACATTTTGTGTATCTTGAAATAATAAAAAAAATGAAACCATAATTTGTCGGCTTATTTTGGATATAAGAGTTGTAAAAATTTATTTTAAAAATTTCTAAGATAACGGCTTGACTAAATTGTTTGCTTCAATTTTAAAATAAATGTGGAAATGTCGCGTCCATAATATTAAAATGAATGTATTCGTTTGACCTTGTATAACATTTCTAGTTTATATCTATAAATTAACGAAAGATTTTTAACTCGGTATATTATGACGCTATTTATTTACAAATGTATACATGAATTTTCTGACAAAAGGTGGCGCTTTCCACTAGTAAAATGAATATTTTAAAATTGTATAAAACAGTAACGGATATTTTACAGTCACAGCACTCAAAGTGAGTGATTTTCAACAATCCGCCAATGTATTTTGGTTATGTTTGCATTACAATAGAATAAAATAAAAATAACCAAGTATTCCAACTTTGAAATACAAAAAACAAACAACAAAAAAACGTTTCGCCAAGTGATCAACGTACACTAATATCAAACATTTAGTATTAAACAATGTTCTGTAATATAATATTAATAGCTTAATTTGATTTTAAAAGGTTATGCCTTTAAACTACAACCATAATTTTTATATGATAATTTTTTACATTCTTTTAAAATAATTGTCTGATTTACAAAATATTTAATTCGCCGATAACAATATAAAAACAAACATCTCGAATCAATCCATACTTTTTAGTTTTGAGAGTTCCTGAGATTTTGGAGTTCCTTGCAAAATTGAGATTTTGACCAAGAATATATATTTTTTAAAAAAGTATCTTTAAATATAATAAAAAATGTGCAGACTGATATATATACACCCGTTACTTCTAGAGTGTAGTAATATCGTCGAAAATAGAAAAATTATACCTTTTCTAACCTAACAAGAGGAAATGAGTCCCGCGACTATAAGATACCCGTTACTGTTTTACACAATTTTAAAAAATTCATTTTGCCAGTGGAAATTTTCCAAGCGCCACCTACTGCCGGAGAAAGCATGTTGAGTAACTTATGGTGACGTCACTGCCCATGTGAGGCCTTATAACTTAAAATTCTTCGTAAATAGCGCAATAATGTTCCGATTTAAAAATCATATAAACGTAAATGCTGAATACGAACTTTCTATTTCCTATAGTTACCGAGATATCAGCTTTTCTAGAAAATGCAAAAACCGTCTTTTGAGCTTTGTGGGCGTATGGGTGGGTGTGGCCGGATAATAGTACTACTATAAGATGCGCTGGAATCGAAAAATTATACATACTGAATTTAAACTTTCTAGCTCCAATAGTTCCCGAGATTATAGTTTTAGTTTTTCGTGATTCATGGGCGATAGAGTTAGCGTGGCAGGTTGCGGGAAAAAACTTGCGCTGCATATGGACCTCAAGAATCTTCATGCTAAATCTCATTTTTGTTCTCTTATAGTTCCTGAGATCTCAGCGTTCATACGGACGGACGGACATCGCTCAATCGACTTCGCTATTGATCCTGATCAAAAATATATATACTTTATAGGGTCGGAAACGCTTCCTTCTATCTGTTACATACTTTTCAACGAATCTAGTATACCCTTTTACTCCACGAGTAACGACTATAAAAAGTGTTTAAATTAATGTAATAATTAATTTATTAATGATCAGGATCAAAAGCGGAGTGGAATTCGCTATGTCCATCTGTCCAACCCCATGTGTGTCTGACCGTATCAAGACTAAGTCCTCTGAGTTGGGGAGCTGGAGAACTGAGAGCTGGACGGATCAAAACACCGTCAAGAATTTCATGCGCAGTTGCCATAGTACTGAGGGCGCGCAAGTGTGCAAGCTACTTGCTGATCCCTTCTCCACACCTGGTAGCTTGAATAATGACCGAACGTGTGCCTGGAAATGTAACAATTTATTATTAAAGCGTAAAATCAATAGTTCTAAGGCCCTGTCATAATTCCTCTTAGTGGGCTACAGGGATCTAATTGTGTCCAACGCTTCGCCATCTAAGCAGGAACGAAGATGCTGGAATTTGTCCACATTTGACAAGTCCTTGTTTGTTCCCACCACCGTGTTGAACATAGCGTAGAAGTCCGGCCAATCGATGTATGCTTCTCCAAATCGCGGAAGATGAAAGGCCTAGAATTGCCTTTGAAGGCGGCACTGATGCCATGCAATTCGGTTGAATTTGCCATGGACTTTCTCTTTTCGCTGTTTATGTAGTAGCAGATTCTCCCTTTTGTTTCGCAGTACCCCGTGGTAAATCTTATGTTAGCGATTACTAAGCTTTCCAGGTTAAGTTGAGAGCAGTCGATGTCACCTGCAATTTACTTTCATCGAATTCGGCCATCTGTTAGTCACTTAGGAGTGTATTTAACGCCGCAAGTTGACACGCCACGGAGCTTGACTTTGCCTTTGTCCTTGTTACCTGGGGCACGTTGCACAAATTCCGTTTTATTTGGTTCCGACATTTCGATTTAATTTCGGAAATAGTATACAACAGTCACTACGCGAACTTTCCGATGTACTTGACTAACGGCGACGAAAGTGAGAATTGAAGTAGCGGGTAGAACGGAACCGAAAAACGAAAAACCTCCGCTCAGCAACTGAAATTATATAACGCTCGACGTTGTGTATAAGTTTTCAAAATGTACAGCAGCCGATGCTGACTGCAGCTCTGTTTTGCATAAGCGAATACCGTACAAACGATGCGAATTGAGTTTATTGACCTTCACACCGAATTGTGGAAGAGGTGCTTGGAATTATTAAAAGGATATTTAATAATTTCTTAACTTTCACACGCGTTCCCCGATCACGCCGGGGTCACCAAATGTTTTGAGGAGGGCATTTCTTCATTTTCCAAAGACATTTTAAATCGGAACGTTATTTAAGTATTTATTAAGTAATGTAGCTAATAAGGCCTCCCATAAGCAGTGACGTCATCATCAGTTTGTAAACATCCTGTTGGGACAACTAGCCAAAGACAAAGATGAGCTGGTTTATTAGCATTTTCTATTCTGTTTTGGTTTTCCCAGTTTCGTATGGCCTCTAACACATCCTTTATCTGAAAACTAATATTTTTATTAATTTAACTCTAATAGACAAGAGATGTAAATAAATTACGACATCGAATTAATTAGTGGGATTGAAACGCATTTTGCCTGTACATATTTATATAAATGAAATTAATAAATTTTATAAATATTTTCGTTTATGACTCTTTAAATTATTTATTCTTAATTGTCGTGCTTTTATTAAAATGTAGACTATATAGATGGGTATCCTGACGGTTTTTTTGACGTAATAACATACCGGACCTTCCCCTTCTCCTGTTTAAAAAAATATTTGATTTCCTCTCGGAACGAACTCACGGTGAAAATTTGTATATCCTCGTATAGACGCCAGGAGAGTTGTTCTCAACTTCTTCAGTCTAGGCCATCTGTAGTTTCGCCAACTGACCTAGTCGTACACTAAGAAAAGCATACAGAATCTCAATTTACCCTACCATCATCTAACTTAAGTAATTTACTTTTGTTGACCCTAATACTACTCTTATAGACTTATAAGACTTATAAACTCACAGAATGTTGTCAATATAAAGCTCTTTTCTGAATCGGTTAAGTGAAAAAGGACTGGTTTAGCAATTTCTATATTAGTGTTATGCTCTCTCTCTCAAAACAGTAACGGGTCGATGCAAACAAATAAAGTGCTTTCTCTTGATTTTTATTTCATTAATTTCTGCTTGATATCCGAATTGGGTTTAAGGCAGAATGTTGAGTTTTCAGGACTACTTGAGGAGTGGAGACACTTAGTTTCCGTGGAATGAATTCTTCTGACCGTTCCCATTAGTATCCCAAAGTTAACCATTTCGATCAATAATAGATTCCCACCTAGATCAATTTTGGTCACCCCAAATCCGGCAAAGCCAAATTTAACTACACTAACCTCCTTTAGAAAGACCAAAGTCTACCTGATAAAATTCAGCATCTTATTTTTTGACAGTCTTGAGTTATACAGAGATAAATCACTTAAGCCGAGGTTTTTTATCAGATTCTAGTCTCAAGATCGGAAGTAAGTTTTTACCCGCGAATAGATGTAATCAATACAAGTGAATGAATGTTTTATAAACTATTGTCAACGTGGTGCAGCGCAATAAAACAGCTATAAAACAAACTTTTAGATAAATTTCATAAGAAATTAAAATGAACTGAAAAAAGTTGATTTTAAAAAAAATCGAAAATAATAAATAATAATTCCCATTAGTCAGATATATAAAAACCAATAGAAATTAATCATTCAATAAAATAGTGAAAACAAGTGGATGAAAAGGTGGAAAATAATAAATACAATATTCCCCTTCAGTCAAAAAAAATTACAAAACTTCGCTTATATGTGACAAAAAAAAGGTACTTATCTGTTGTGCCAAGCCGCCAAAGACAAAGACGGATGAGCTGCGGGGGTTTACCAGCGGTTTCTAGTTGGTTTTGATTAACTCAGTTTCGCATGCGCTTTACTGTTACTTTATAGCGCACGCGCTTTTGGGAGCTTTTGGCAGAACTGCTGTAGCTCGAAGCTTTTGCAGTTAAGTTGTTACTTCTTGCATTCGGCGTGGTTTTGTTGCGGAGTTGATTTGGTTTTAATTTGAAATTAGGAAATTGAACTGCCCCGATTTATTTATTCTAAAGCAATTAAAAACTCTTAGTTGCTCAACTGATTAATGTGATCAGTTTTTAATGTGGTAAGGAAACTTGTTTTTGTTGTAATAACCGTGCACTTACTTGTATTATATAATGGAGTCTGGGCTAAAGCCACTAGATCTACTGATGCAAGCAGGGAGAAAATGCTGCGGAGACGAAGACAGGTGACCTGTCAAGAAATGAATATCCTGCATCAGAAGGTCAAGGCTGCGATGCGGACCCAAGACTCAACCATTATGACCCTCGAGACAATGGCGAAGCTTCTGCTTGACCAATTTGCTACGCTTCACGAAGAATTGGAAGAGCTAAACCAAAGCGAAATCGGAAGTAACTTGTATTG